TTTAAATTCAAAGGAAAAATAATATAATAAATGAAGTACATTTTTTTATATGTCTTGTGTTCGTCTTAATATACTTTGAAATAAAGAGTTATTTGCCCCTCGGTGACAGGAAAGCCCTGGAGTGTTATGACACTCGATGCTGAACATGTATTACGAGACTATGTCAAAAAACTCTAAATAAATATGACGAATATTAAGTTCATATTTTCGTTGCAAAACATGATCCGCTACTAAAGAAATAAATAACTACTGCATACTAGAATTTTTGTTTTAAAATAGAAAAATAATTCTATAGATAATATAATGCCCAGTAATCGCAGATTCAGGGGGCATATAGTTTTTGCCCTGTGCACTCGTCTCTTTGTCTGTTTTTTTGTCTGTAACACCTTTTACATTGCCCATAACTTCTGACTGATAAGAGCATACTTCAGTTGCATTTTCCCCTTTTCTTGGGTAAAAATATTTTGATCTTTTTCTTGGTTTTTGGTCTTCTTTTAAAAACCGTAAGCCTTGTCCATAACTTTAAAAAAGTTATTGCTCGAGCTCTAATATTTCACAAGTTTTTTCCTTGTGATAAGCGTTTCTTGGAAGTTGGGTACGAATATTTCTGACTTTTTTCACCTTGATTTGGTTGTTGGGAGGGACTTCATATTTCACAAGTGCATTCCTTGTGACAAGTCCATCACTTGGATACAAATAATTTTGACCCTTTTATTTTGACCTTGGAGTTTGGCCTAATTTTAAAAACATTTATCAAATGAGCATAGAGAACAAGACATGTCAAATGGTTCAATTGACTGTATGAAAAGCTCTGTTTATGCACTACTAAACGTTGAAAAAATAATCTGCACTGTGTTTTTTGCACAACTTATTAAGCTGCAACATATATAAAAAACCCAAAAAATTTCTAAAAAATGTGGAGCTATTAAAACAATGTGAATAGATTGATCTATTCTGCTGTTTCCTTACACCACTTTACAAGTCATTGAAGTCACATATAATTTGTTTGTGAAAAAAAGATTTTTTTTCAGCTCAAGGTCCTGCTCCTTTTTTAAGTGATGTATTGTCTTCAAAACAAGCAGAAAACACACACACAATCACACGCACAGAGCAACAGAGAGAGAGAGAGAGAGAGAGAAAAAAAATATTAATACTTTTTAGCTGATAGCATATTGCATAACTAAATGACAGACACATGCATTCCAGAAACATTATTACTGCCGAGAGACAGTTATGGTAATTTCAAAATTTATGTTTGCTGCATATCCCTGTATTAAATATGTTGCTCTTTTGTTTGAGATTACACATGAGAAGGAAAATGTTGTGAGTAGCAAAGTATCAGGGACTAAAAAGTCCATCAGCAGAGGCCTCAACCCAGGGGTCATAATGGTATTGACGAAAAAAACCTTAAAAAGAAAAAAACACATCGAATTTTGAAATTAAAATAAAAAATTAAAGCTTTTCAAAGTCAGACTTTAATGAAGGATGAGGCCTTTATAATTAAGAGTCAAAATCAGCAAGCATCGAGCATTTAGTTAAAAAATGTGGAAAGTGGCATAGAAACAGATTTGGTTAAAACTCATATATAAATTTTCAGAACAAAGGGTATGATAGAAAAAAGCAAGCAAAAATAATTTTTCGCATTGTTGCTATGGAAACCACGCGCCTTTCCGATAGCGTGTTTTGTAGTTTATCATGACACTTGAATTTATGGTTAAACAAATACTTTTTTATTACTAGTCATTAAAAAAAGCTTTTTTAAATTATTATTTTATTTATATAAATATACTCTATTTTAGCAACTGTTGATTTTTGAAATTCTCTTCACCTTTTGATAAATATAACTAGTTTTTGGAGGTTTATTTTGCTTTAAAACACAGCAAATTTGAAGTACTTTATAAGAAATCTACAACCACATTAAAGCTTATCAACATAAAATATTTATTAAACAGTATTTGTTCTAGAAGAATCATGAAAAAAATCTGCAGGCAACTAAAGCATTTACATATGATAACTGATTTAAATCCATATTTTCCTGAAACTTTTGCTTCAAATTACCTCCCTTTGGTGTAGCTCTCTAAAACATAGGAGGAATAAACGGTGGTTTGCTTACATTGTTTTCAATAACAATGTACCAGAAGACTTAGTAGAAAATTACAAACTTGGAGCGGTCTGAGCCTCAGTTTTGGCGTTTTCATGGGTCTTAATTATGGTGAGTGATTGATTTTTTTTTCCAGTTACCATTACAACAGTTACTAAAGCATGATTAGCATAAATTAATCATGCAGTAAGATTTGTACACTTGACAATCAAGTGTTTTTGTACATTTTAATTTAATTTAAATAATTCTGATTGATTATATATGTTAGCATTATTTAAGTATTTTATAATATTAAAAAGAAAGATTATGCATGGCTCGAGGAACAAAGAGGAGGGGATGTCCCCCCCCCCTAATATTGCCGATATTAAACAATAATATCAATTTATCATGATAAAATAAATTTAATCCCCCAACTTAGATTGTATGTGGACCTAACGTGAAAAGGTTGGTCAGTCACATCACTGTATCACAAATTATAAAGTTTAATTTTAATTTAGTTTATAATTTTGATTTGTCGTATTCACGGTATGTATGCAACCAAAGTCACTCACCAGCTACAATGATTATAATTCATAAATTGATAGTCTGGTAAATCAAAATTTTGTAAAGAAGATATTTTTATTTAACATTTAAGATAATACCTGCTTTTCACATGAAAAAAAAGATATAATCTATGAAACCAACACTATTATGAAATATTTGTAAAATTGAAAGACTTTTGTTAGGGCGTCCGTAAAAAAAAATGAAAAGGAGGAAGGGGGTTAAATCTGTTACTGTACTTAATATTTTTAGTTTAGGAAAGGGGATTACCTCGGAAGTATTGTGATACAGACAACTGTATAAAGTAGTGTACTAGTGGTAACTGAATTGTAAATATACCACAGCAAAATAATGAATTAAAAAAAAACTTTTTGCTGCTGTCATCCAGTGTTTACCTATAAAAGAAAATTCATGTCCAGCTAACATTTTCTCCGGTACCACTGAACTAATTTAAGCCTACTAGGTTCAAATAATAAGCATCATTAGATTGAAAGCACAAAAATGTTACGAAATGAATATCTATATGCCATTTATTCTTTGGGGGGGGGGGGGGGTAATGGAAAGATATGAAAAACATAATTTAGAGTTTTGACAAAATGACAAAAACCTAGAATCAGTTGACCTTTTTATTATCTAATTTGTGTTGTTCACTTCTGTTTTTAGAATGAAATTCGGCACTTTGAAGTCAAACTCGGGAAGAAGCAGAAACAGAATTGAATGAGCTGATAATTAGAATAACACAGGAAAAACATGTAAATAATACATTAAAATTAGTAGAAACGTTAATTTTTTTAAATAAAATGATAAACCATTGAGATTTCTTGGAATTTAATTGATTTCAATAATCATGCTTGCATTCATCACCATTGTTCAAGCTCAACTAGACATTGATCCTAGTAAATGAAGACAAAGCTGTATAATATTATTACATTTTAATTTTATCACTTTTTCAGATTCCGAGAATACATTATTACAGTACAGGCCCATTGATGCAGGAAGTGAGTGGATAGTACATGTAATACCCTCAGGGAGCCAGAAAATAAATCCATAAATTGTATTCATTAAAGTGGATCAAATAAAAATGTTCAATCCAAAAGTAACATTCTTTGTTTGTCTGTTATCAATTTTGTATCGATGTAAATCTAATGACTATCACTTTTTGGCATGCAGATTCATAATAAGATAGTAGAAGAATCTGAAACATATCTTTATATTCTGCATTTTGAAGTATATGTATCATATATAATTAAAACAAGGTCAATATTAAACTAGAACTGTCCAAATGGGACAAAATACCCCCGCTGGGTTTTGTTTAGAGGTGCTAAATCTTGAATATTTTATGGATCTAAGAGAAGAGAAATGCTAAAACATTTTTAGTGCAAATGTAGTTGCTCATTAATTTTTTATAAATGAAACGAAGGCGCAGCCTAAAAAAAAAGACTTTATATACAGATCAGACACAAATTATTAACTTCTTCTTCAGTGACCTTGAACTTGCATAAATGACTTTGGTATAAAGTCATGACACAAACTCAGGTGTGTATTCAAGTTTTTCAATTATAAACAAGAATTAGGAAATTTTTCTTCTAGTGTCCTTGAACTTCCCCAAATGACCTTTGGTCAAGGTCATGACACACCCTTAGGTCATGGGCAATCTTTGTGTGGAGAAGTAGATTCTAATGTTCCTCTAGAAGAAAGATATGGACCGGACACTTTTGCACAGCTAGACAGACGGACGGTCAAACTGATTCCTATATACCCCCAATCAATCAATTAATTTCAAAACTGACAAAATATTTTTGTGAGAGAAAAAAATGAGGACTAGTTTAATACAAAGCTTTCATTTTAAATATTTCACTTTATAGCATTCTTATAATTTTTTTTAGAGTCAGTTGAAGTTTGAGACATTCATTTATATACATATATAAATAGCCCTTGTAGATTTTCATTTTTGGTACTTAGAGATCTTAGCTGTCATGAAATATTGTTTCTTAATTAGGGCAATTTTGAAAGTGCATGGTGTTGGGTAGGCATAGATAAAACTGCAAGAAAAAAAAAGAAAAGTGGGGAATTTCTCCAAACTCAGGGGGATGGGGCTTTCAGTGAATATCAGGTTACGTTGTGTGTCATCCCCCCCCCTAAGCAACCCAAAACTGATGCCACATGCCTGATTGATATGGTTTTACTTTAAAATTATATGATGTGTCAAAGTGATTCTCTTTTATAAACTAGCATTATTGTGAGCAAGCTCATTAAGTGATTACCCACCCTCCTGCTATTGCATAAAATGTTTTAATTACAAACAAAGGTCCAAATATTTATTTAAAACCTTTTTAAAACTTTGCAATACAGATATACATATCCAAATGAATATGACATATACTCAAGTCATAGGTAGTAAAACCTTTAAATTGTGTAGAGCACAAACTTCCGATTTCTCTTCATTCGAAGTTATAAGAATATGTAAATGTACCAAACTCATATAGTACACTTTTACTGCAGTGACCTTGAAAAAGCTATGTCCTTGAGTCAAGGTCAAACATGTCCAAATGAACTTTGGTCATAGTCATGACAAACCCACAGCTCAAGAACAATCCCTGAGAAGAAATTGTAAGTCTTTCCATTAGAATGGGCAACGATTGCACTATTCCTCTACCAATGACCTTGAAATTTTTCAAATGACCTTGGGTCAAGTTTTGGACACATCTCCAGATCTTAAGCAATCTTAATATCAAGTATGAACGTTCATTGGTGCTTCATTGAAATGTTATGAACATGTAAAAATTTAACATACATATGGAGGGATGAACAAGGTGATTCCTATAAACCCCCCCCCTTTTTTCAAGTTTCGATTGTGATGAATATAAAATTCCTTTTTGAAATAATTGAATGTGCATTTATTTATCAACAATAGTAAAATTATGAGTATGCTTTGATCAGAATCAATATGACCAATATAATGGGCACTGTACATGTAATCAATTACCCCCACCCCTTCAAAATAGCTTAAATAAATGCCAGATTGTCACACATTTTAACCATTTGTAACTTTTTTCTACTAAAGTTGCCTGCAAATTTTATTGTATAGATATGACATATAGATAACCCCTAACAAGATCACAGCATTCATTTTTCCAGCAGTGGTTGTAGATTTCGCATATAAAGTGATAAACATATGTATTTTTTTCAAAATTAATAAGCATTGACGCCATGTTCTTTTCCCGTTGTCATGGCAACAATATCACTACAGAAATTTTGTTTTTCCTATTTTTTAAGAATAAAGTAATTCCATCCTTTAACAAAAAAGTAACCAAAATACCTTATCTTATCACGTTCAGAAAACATATTCATAGAAAAATGTCTAAAAATCATTGATTTTCATAAGGATTTATGGGCCCGTTGCTAGGGAAATGAATTTCCTTGGATACCAGTCCCTTCATACGTTCAAAAAAAAATTTTAATTGTGTTTTAGCATAAGTTAGGACAAAATATTTTATATAACAAAAGCTTTTTGAAAAATAAAATTTTGAATTTCCATTCAATGCTCGATGCTTGCTGATTTTGACTCTTAACTTATATGATAATAATAACCATTAATTGGGTTGTATTTAAGCTGACTTGTTTCACATCAATTGTTAAGACCTTTGTTTCTTTATACTTCAATTGACTGCGTATACCTCATTAATACATTTGCTCACTGCGGGAGTGACTTATCAACAAGGGATATTATCTCCTCTTATGCACCTGTTCCCATCCTTGGAATTAAAAACAAATTCTTGTGTTAATAGAAATGTTAAAATTACAATTTTTTTATAATGCACTTACGCAATACATCATGGAATATGAAAATCACGATTAAACAGTAATTAAGCTTAAAGGTCCATCGAATACATTCAGATTGGAGGCAGACAAAACATGGAACTGTAAAATAATCAGAGGTGGGATCAGGTACCACGGAGGAGTGAGCATCCCCTGTAGACTGGTCACGCCCGCCATGTGATCTATAACATGATCTTACAAACGAAAAAAATCATCCGTTTACAATTCCGTATAAAATAATGGTCTAACAAATTGTATGAAGAACGTCATTAACATTTGAGTTAATGATAGATTGAATTTAAAGGCCATTGTATCAAACAAAAAAGTTACAAATGTAGGCTTAAAACGAGGTTGACGAGGTTCGTGTTTTGGTCTTATTGTTTAATCAATATCAGTTTGTCTGTAAGTTGCTAAAAAGCTCCTCGTAGAAATTATTCGTAGAGCAAAATGGGAGACATAAGCTCCATAGGCAGGTGCTACTGATAGTAAATACATAAATAAGGAAGGTTGACAACAGAAAAATTGAATTAATCACTTTTATCTAAAAATGTTATTGTTAGGTTACTACAAAGGTCTTTATCAGGTAAAATATCTAATTATGAAACAGATTTGTAAGATTCTGTATCTTTTAGTTCGAGTTCAAAGGGATATATCAAAATAAGGTACATGTAGTAATAAAAATTAATATTGTTAATTGATAAACTAGTAGCTATACTGTTTCCTTTGGCCTGATCTAGTCAATCAGTATTGCACCAATAATAAATGCTTGTTTGATCTTTCGGCAAGGGATGCTTACTCCTCCTAAGTATGTAGTCCCATCTCTGGATTTTTAGGGGCTAGTAGTGTTAAGCTCCCTCTCCACGATTCGATATCTTTACTAAATCCATGAGATTGATCATGTTAGTAATGTTCAAAATTGAACATAAAACGAAAATTTTGTGACTTAAAGAAATGTATGTGTTTAAAATTACTTCATGCGAGTATTAATGGGTCGAATTGACAGAATTTTGTATTTTAAATTACTTCCGATCTATTGGAAAAAAAAAATCAACAGCTACATGTTCCATCAAAATGCAGAAGGTGCACATTTTCTTTTATTACTGGTTTTTGCTCAGCATAAAGTAAGTAAATGCTACATTTTTGCATCTGACATAGTGCATTATAAGTGTTCTCGGTGTCCTGACACTAAATATTTGATCTGAAAATTGGTCTGTCTGACAACTCTTCTACTTTAAATATAACTTTATCACTTTAGACTAAGATCACATTACTAACATTCTGCCAAATAAATGTAGATGAGAACGGGTTGGAAGTTTTTAACAAGGGAGATAAAGATACAGGGCGTCTGTGGATTTCCCTTTTTGGGTTACATTTATACTTTCTGCCCTAAAAATAATAGCACGATTTGATCGATTAATGATCTAGTTATTGCAGATGCAGAAGGATTTTTATTTGTTATGTGGTATTTGTTCTCTTGTAAACGACAATCAATGACGAAAATGTTTTAACTCTAGAATTTTTCTTATAAAAACAAATGAAAAAATGAATAATTCAGATTTAAATAAATAAAAAAAACCTTTAAATTTTAAGGAAAAATAATATAATAAATGAAGTACATTTTTTTTTATATGTTTTGTGTTCGTCGTAATATACTTTGAAATAAAGAGTTATTTGCCCCTCGGAGACAGGAAAGCCCTGGAGTGTTATGTCAACCGATACTGAACATGTATTACGTGACTATGTCAAAAAACTCTAAATAAATATGACGAATATTAAGTTCATATTTTCGTTGCAAAACATGATCCTCTACTAAAGAAATCAATAGCTACTGCATACTAGAAGTTTTGTTTTAAAATAGAAAAATAATTCTATAGATAATAATATGCCCAGTAATCGCAGATTCAGGGGGCATATAGTTTTTGCCCTGTGCACTTGTCTCTTTGTCTGTTTGTTTGTCTGTAAAACCTTTTACATTACCCATAACTTCTGACTGATAAGAGCATACTTCAGCTGCATATTCCTTTTCTTGGGTAAAAATATTTTGATCTTTTTTTTGGTTTTTGGTCTTCTTTTAAAAACCGTAAGCCTCGTCCATAACTTTAAAAAAGTTATTGCCCGAGCTCTGATATTTCACAGGTTTTTTCCTTGTGATAAGCGTTTCTTGGAAGTTGGGTACGAATATTTCTGACATTTTCACCTTGATTTGGTTGTTGGGAG